TCCTGCCATGCTGGGAATGGGGGGAGCAAACGTCGTTCCTGGCAGCGAGGTGATGGACAGTGATGAGGGACCGCACAGGGCTACCGGGCAGCAATTGATTCATCTAAGTCATAGGCAAGATTTGCTTCCTCCCAGACAGCACTGGTTGTGAACCAGCTGGTGGAAAGACCATACAGGAGCATACATCACTCTTTGCTAAGCTTGTTCTTAGTCATCTGTGATCCTGTAACGTTACTGGTGAAATCTTAGTGACAAAAAACTTTCCAGGGGGGGATTGCGGGTTTTCCACGTAGTCAGTTGAGTTGAATCCACAATTAACGGGTCGACAAAAGGCTTAGGTCAAGGCTGGTGATAGAGGTATAGTAAAACTTGACTGAAGATCAGGCACTCAAAATGGTTTGATCTGGGATTTTCTCCCCCTTCCTCAGCTCCTTTTAGTAGTTTCTGGAGGAAATGCAGCCAAGATATGCATGAAATTTACTCCGCCAGGTGTGCCTCTGTGAAAGCAATTACCTGACACCTAGCTATGTTATTAAAAGGTCTTGCAAGTTTACGCCTTCCTGCTAAGGTAACGCTGCATGACTTCAGTGACAGCAAGCCCATTCTATCGGCAAGATGAGAGGCAGGAGGACGAAACAGAGGACAAGCAACAGGCAGTACTCCTGTGTTGGCAGGGCAGTAGGCCAAGAAACCCTCATCTGTTGGTACTTTTGCTGTGACTTTAGCCAGACTTAGTTTCTGGAGCCAGCTCAGTGTGTCTCAGAGTGCAGGTCATGGGATTTGCTGAAGGACTTAAAGGCAGCAGCGCAGCCCTGGGCAGCAGCTACTGGCAGCTCAGTCCCTCCAGCTGCTGGTCGCTGCCTGCACTGCTGCCAGTCTGGTGGGAGCTCCTAGGGGCCCTGAATCACCAGACGCACCTCAGTTTCTCCCGGGTAGTGAAAAAAAGCTGTAATTACTGGCCACAAACATTTGCAGTATTCTGTGCTCCGGAGGGACTGAGCTGCAGCCAAACAAGGGTGGAAGCCAAATGATTCGGTACAACACATGGGCCAGAGCAGCGTTTCTTAAACATAAGCTTATAGGCACACACCAGAAGTTTCCTTCTTGGCAGATGTAAGGTCTGAAACACGCGGCAAGGAGAGCAGGATGTTCAGTCAACCCTTTAATAACAAACAGCTGTAATAAAGTCCGGGCTTCCTACAAGTCAAAATAAATTTTGCCACCAAGCTAAGTGGAGCCAGTGCTTCAGCTCACGTAGCTGTGAAATGTCAGGATGGAGAAGACCCATGCAGTGAATTTTCTCCTTCCATTTGAACTTTGTTCCCTCTTCTGTCACCCTTCTTTCTTTCTTCTCCTGCCTCGATCACGATGCTGTATGCCACTGCATCTTTTCGTAGCAGTTGGCATTTTACAGCAACAAAACCAATCCTTGTAAAATACTTTTCATCTAGCCACAAATGGGAAATTTTCAAAGGCTGCCTCCACTCTGGTTATTTGGTTTCAGAGCACAAGCCGAGGAAACAAACGGCCAGCTGAACTTGAGGGTTGCCGGCACTCTTGCCACTTTTGGTAAGGAGGGAAGGCTAAGGCTGAGGCCAGGCCCTTGTATAAACCTCTGGTTGGTCACTGAAACAGTTGAACTATCCAAAAAACACAGAAAACTTTCCCTCCCCTACTCTTCTTCTTTTATTTTTTTTCATTCCCTCATCCGTTTTGGAGACAAGCATTATAGGAAAACTGCAGTAAGGTATTTTCAGGGCAGCTACATGTTTTTTGACTTGTTGGCATCCCAGTGAAATCCTGACCTGACAAGGGCGTTTAGCCTTTTATCTCGGTCCTGTATGAGGTCCAAGTTTCACAGCCATTAGGCAGCAGAGCTGATAAATGCTGTGATTTAGAGGTTGCCTAATGGAATGTTTTGCCCCAAAAGACATTCAGAGTAAAATCCACAGTGCTGCTTACAGAAAAATTGTAAGCTTTAAAAGTAACGTGTTGGGCTAAAGGTGAGTAGAGACACTGCTGCCAGGCTTCAGCCAAGCCTGGCTCAGGGGTAACAGACAGTTGTCCACCCCAGCAGCTGCCCTAAGAGAAGGTACCTTTACTGTGCTGAACGCATGAACTTGTCCTGGCAAGAAAATCAGGCTGCTGGTGAGGAGCAGAATGAGCTCTGGCCTATCCCTTGGTGTCTTCACCTTGAAGAGCAAGGAGGGGAATAGGAGAAAGCAATGCCCCTGGGAAGAAGATCTTAGGGGACAGAGGGTGCGTTGAAGGAAAGAGATGATCCAATCATGAGATTTCCTTCTCTGCTCAATTAGGATCGAATAAACTTGGTCTCAGATCAGCATCCTTTGGGTGCAGTTCAGTACCACAGGGGAACTGCTGGCACACGTGGCTTTGCTTTGCCTATTAAACTGTCTCTATCACAACCCACAAGTTTTCTCACTTTTACCCTTCCAGTTCTCTCCCTCACCCTGCTTGAGGGATGTGAGGGAGCAGCTGCGTGGTGCTTAGGTGTTGGCTGGGGTTAAACCATGACACAGTTTTCAAATCGCGCCTGCAATATTGATCCAGATACTGCTTTGGATTACCTGAAGATTGTATGTGTGTGTGTTTGTGTGTGTGTTAGGTTTAAATCTATTACAGTGAAGCACAAACAGATTTTACTCTTCTCACCCTGTCCCCAGCTGTCAGATAAAACAATAAAGCAAAGATACCTCCCCAAACAGCCTCATTTAAAAGCTTGAAATACAGCTGCAGTGTACTGATTTTTTTTTTCTGCTCTGAAAAAATCAGTTTCTAAATTCTAGACCAGATCATTCTTGGTTGTCTCTCAGGCAGATTCACGACGCCCCAAACAACTCCAATGGCACTGAGGAAAGCAGAGTATAAAGGACAACGCACAAAGCAGCGCAAAGCTTTGAATGTTCTATTTAAAGTGACTTTATTAAAACATCGTTAATATAAAATGTGACCAAGTACAATTTTTTTGTAAGAATGTTTAATAAAAACATACTAAAGAACGAAGGAGCATCAACTCTTGTCAAAGCACAGGAAAAACCTACCAGGATAAGTAAAAAGTTCTGCAGCATGTTCTACCAGCTGGTCCCAATGTGTATTAGGGTCAAGTTAGCCGATGGAAGAGACAGGCAGCCCACGTTCTTTTCCCTAAGAAGCTTTAAGGTATTTAGCAGAGGTTTAAAATAACACTCCTCAACAGTAGGAGACTTTGCTTTCAGCTCTCCCCATATCAAAGTAAGATGAGAATGAGCATCTTCACGTTGGATTTATAACTTCCCAGCAGCTGAATGTACAGAAAATTAGATTCACTGGTAACTGTAAACTCCAGGGTTAACGTTTTGTCAGCTTTGAAAAGAAGGTGCAAGTCAATACTAATAATACACCTAAAGAATTTGTGCTAAAGTTGTTCTTAGCTATAATAATGCTGGATGCTTGTAGCAAATGCTAAAAAAAGGTCAACTAAGAAAAAAACATCAGTAAAGTCCAGGCTAGTAGAAACAAGAAGTCTTTTCTGAACTGCTGAATGCAGGGACAATATCCACGAATTACAGGATCTGTACATCTCAGGAAGCATGTAAAGAAGCTTTCGGAAGTCTATAAATAAGGCTACGCAATGACTCTGTGGCAATCTTCCCCTTGGTGGTTCTATTTTTTGGGGGGGGGGGGTGGCAGAGCGAGCGTAGCTTACAGCATTTTCTTTGATCAACAAGCAAGTTTTAATGCTCTATCAGCATCCTCTGCTTGTTCAGGGCAAGCAGCACACCAATTAGAGGCAAGGATTCTTCCAGGACATCTCAAACTCTTCCTGTTACAGGCAGAAGAAAATCCTGCAGCATCCAATTCTGCACATTTAACTGCCCCTGGCACTGAACCAGATATCAAGCGCTAATCCATGAGAAGCCTAGCACAATTATGGTCTAGGAGATGGTGACCTTCTTATAGCCTAGGCTGGGACCCATTAGAGCCCTGTGTTTTGCCTTCTACCCCAAACAAACGCTACGGGACTATTGCTGAGGTAAAGGGAAAGGTCAAACCTTTGGCATTGGAGCAGACCAGTCACTGGCTGTGCGTAGGGGGAATTAAGGCTTCAAGGTGAGGTAAACACAGTGAGAGTCAGTGTGTAAATCATGCTGCATTTCAGAGACGACAGATTCAAATGACAGCTAGTCTCGTTCTCTACATTTTAAACACCAAACAAAGATCATTCGACAGCAGAACTGGAGGCAAGTCTGCTGAGGGCCACCTTGAGATGCCTCTCTGCACCTCGGGAACAAACGTAACCCAGATGTTGAACGCTGAAGAGAATGTACCCACAAGGAGGAAAAAGCACCAAAGTTGATGAGTCCTTGAGACAATAAGCTGCTTAAAAAACAAAGAAGCCTTACACTGCTGTGACCTCCCATAACATAGTGGTTTCCTGACACAAAGGTTATCTACACTGCAGCAACTCCCAGTGCTGTACTTCCAGCACTACTGTTACCAAGAGTTATGCTCTAGTAAAGAGGCAGTGAAATCATTAGGCTCGTGTTCCCTGAAGACGGTTTCTCCCATTCATTAGGTGTTGTTCCATTCCACTCCACCCACCCCCAAGTCTTTAATCCAAAGACCAGAAACACCTGTCTTTTCCCCAGGTCATTTTCCTAACACTCTTACGTTATTTTAGCAGATTTGTAGGGTACAAACACAGTGCTGCTTTGGATCCATCATTTTGGCAATGCCTTTGCCCTCTTCAAAAAAAAAACTGTTTTCAAATAAGTGGTACAAAAGTTACTTTCAAACTAAATGCAATATAGAAATCAATGCAATTTTTCTGTATGCTTATTTTTCACTCCATTTTTGCTAGTTATCTGAAGTATGGAATTATTGGCTTATTTGGAACCATTGCACGTGCAACGCTATTTCTTAGAAGCCATGCTAGGAAGGTTTCAATTGAAAACAGCGATCTGGTCCTGCAGGTTCCATTTCTAGGATACGGAGACTCTCATTTGTTTTCTTTAACACGTGTATGGTAACCTCTCCCATCCTCTCAATACAGTAGCTACTAAAAATTGTAACAGATATTAAAAAAATATCCAAATAAAACCACACTTCTATCACTGTTTAAAAAACAAAAACGCATATGGTATTACAAAAGTTTATACAAAGGCAACATTTAAGAGTTTGAAAGTTACTTCTAGAAAAAGACACAAATGCTAGTAAATTAACATACAAGGAGAAAGACACTCCATTCCTTCCCCAAAATTGGTTTGATCTATTTTGAAGTATCTTTTACCAGTTGTCTAGAAAATCAAAGCCAGTCTTCAAGATAACATTGCTTGTACTAGTCTGCAAGGAAACAAAGAAGTAAGATGTGGTTGTTAATTACAGGATTACAAACTCAGTACTTGACTGCCTGTCTACAAAAGAAAGTTTTAAATGTTGTCTGCCAATATTTCAAGCTCTTCATCTTTCTCTAGAATACCCAAGAGCCTACACCAGAAAATGCTAGACAAATAAAGAAATACTCATAATGATCAAAACGGCAATTCCAGATAAAAATAAAATTCTTCTAGTGGTCTGCAAGCAAAATGTTACTTTTTTTCCCCATGGAAAAATTAATTAAGATAATTTTTTAGACTAGAACGGGAACTGCAGAGAATGAAACAACACAGACTGTAAGCATCACTAATTCAATGGATCGTCTGTTGTGATGACAGCCAGTTATTTCCAGAAAACTGCACAGTTTAAGCTTTATTGACAAGTTATGTACTAGGCTACCAAGAGCATGCTCACCTCTGCAGAACTGCACTTTTAGCCAGGATACTTAAAGTGATTTTAGTGTTCAGGAAGACTATGCAAGAGACACAGCTGAGTCTCTGGAGTCTCTTCCTAGAGCATGCCTCTGTTCCCCAGAACAGGGAAAACAATCCAGAAAAGAGGAAACAAAGAAAATTCCACCATCCTGTTTTCTCTGTTACTTGTGGGAGGATTGTTTCTCCACAGAGAGGAAAAACAGGCTTTTCAGACTATTTCAGTTAGCTAGAAAACATTCACAAAGGAATTAAAACTGTAACAAACCACCAATTTCTAGGAAAACATGATAAAGCCTTTAACTAAAATTAAAGGACTACCGCAGTCACAATTTGCAGCAAAACAGCTCAAGAAGCATTATGTCTTAGCTTCAGACAAAAATAACTAAATATTGGGCTCCAAATACTGAAGTGGCTTAAGTATTGTTCTTTCCTAAGTGCTGGCACTTACTTCTCTGGCAAGTATTTATCTCATCCTGCATCTTTCTGACTTTACATCATCTTGTTCGAAGTTTAAACAATTACTCTTGGGAAAATATGGTAGAGAAAAAGCTATGGGACACGCTTAAGGCGTACAATAATATGTCAGGCTTATGCCAGAGCAATGCTACAGATTCCACGCAGAACTGCACAGCTCTGTTTGAAGAAACACTCCCCTTCTCCTCTTCACAGTTTTCAGGTTTCAGATCTCTTCCTTTTCTTTCCCTCACCATGTCATATCCTGTTGTTCCCTTTCTTTTCTCACAGATCAGCATCTGCTTTTTAAATAGCTTCAACTGGCTACTGAGCTGCTTAAGGTTATTTTTTGTTGTTGGGTTGTTTGGGTTTTTTTATTAAAAAAAAACATTGAGAAGGCTAATTCTGGAAGCTCATTCCATTTCCATTTTGGACTTTAAAAGAAAACACATTTAAAAGCAGCCCAGCTGCCTGGGACAAAGCACTGGGAAGTAGCTATTGGGCTACCGCTTAAAACAGCTGAGAAACTAGTTCGCCCTTCACCGCTATGCTGTGTGTACCAATAAAGTATCCCAGACTCGAGCTTATCTACTTTTCCAGTTAAAAAACTTCTTTTTCCATGAAGTGTTTTGCTGTTTCGAGAAAAAAAAAACCAACAAGCCTCTTTTACTTGATATAGCAAGATCTTTACCCCAATTTGTTAGGTAGCTTGCTGTCAGCCACCGGATGCCATGTCAGCGTTTCTGGTATTATATTTAAATGATGCCTTTATCCTATGCACTTCACTACATTAAAAATACTTGATTAAAACAAACAATAGCAGTTAACATGTTGGTTAATGTAACATGTAAGTTAACTTCTTTAAATTTGCAGGATAAAAAGCCAGCAAGCCTAGCTATGGCTTAATGCTTTATGGAGCCCCTAATCTCCCAGAGTGGCCTTGTCAGATTTTAATGTGCTATATAGTTTTTAAATCTAAGGACAGTGGGTATAGCAGTCCTTACCTGTCCAGGCATCTGTAGATCTGTAAGTATAGTACCATCAGTATCTTCCTTGTTTGTCCTAGAAGATGCCGGGTCCTGTGGTGGGTCAGGAAGAAAGAAGTCATCTAGAGAAGTAGCAGGGAGTTGAGTGGGTCGAGGTTTCTCCCATTCGAGAGAGACAGAAGGTAGGCTGGGAGCGGCGGACTTCTCTGGTTTAGTTACGCTGGGCTTCTCAGCTTTTGCCACCTCCTTTGGAGTAGACTCTTGTCTGTAAAACGAGGGAAGGGGTTTCTCTCCTTTCTCCATGGACTTGATCTGGCTGGGGGTCAGGGACTGGAATTCAGACTTGTCTCCTTCAAACTTCGAGCGCTCTGCATTTATCTTCCAGAAAGAGGACTCCTCTTCCTTTCTGGATGCTATCAACCCATCGGAGCCAGGGGTCTTATTGGCCTGAGAAGATTTAGGGACTTGGACACCAGGTGCTGCTTTAACGGGCTGCCTCTGTTCATTTTGCAACTGGGCACCACCTTGTTCTTGTATGGACAGAGATGCAACGCTGAACTCCATCTGACTCTGTTCAGGGTTAAAGAAAAACAGTATTTCAAAGCCCTTCACAAAGACACAGTTTTGAACTTCTGATCCTGATGCACATGGGTAACACCTCTGCCCACATCTAGGCAGCTCCCAGACAGTAGATACCACAGCAAAGCTAACTTATTTTCTCCATAAATGTCTATCTTTGTAGCTATATAAAAATAATAATTTTTAAAAGTCTGAACTGCAGGCAAATGTAGGATTCCTAGACCTGCTGCAGAGGAGTCAGACAAAGCAATCATTCAAATTACTCAGTGCCATCCAGGATAACAGTGCATAGCGTGCACAGCACTAAAACACTAGAACACTGGCACTAAAATATTGGAAAAGTTGTGGATGCATTTTGGAAAGCCATAGATGTCTTACACAAAAATATAAAGCAAAAAAGCTTTGCAGTGTCATTCAAAAGGCAACCTCTTCCATTAGAGTCTTTGAAATAATTGGCAACACGTTACAACTCCATCTGCTTCCAAGATAAAGGATTAGATGTAGGGGGTATGCGTAGACAAGTGGTTTTTACAATTCTAATGCTCCCCTGAAGGAAGAGAAACAACTCCAGCAGGACCAGTTCTTCACCTATGCCAGAGCCCTGGTTTGTTTTTACTTGCAGTGCAGATAGCTGTACTCATTTCTCAGAGGTAACACTGGGTCAAGGAAGTAAGTGACCACAGTTAAAGCATGATAAAAATTCTTGCAAAAGACACCCAAAAGTGAACAGTTCTTCAAACGTTCATTTTACTTACCACCACTTCAGTAATCTTGACTGTCAGCTAGCTGGACACTCTTTAGGCTAACAAAAGTTAAGCCTTATTTCACTCTGAAGAACACACAAGCGTTACTGTATTTAGGAGGACAGCACCATAGCAAGTGCTAGAAAAGAACAATCTAATGTCTACATTGTTTGTAAAATTGAAGGAACAATGCAACAAAAATTACAATTAAAAACTGCATTTACTGTTAGAGCCATGCTGTTGTCATTACGGGCCCGATCAGTTTTGAAAAAAATTCAGAGGACATTTCAAATACTAGCTTTTGCTACAAGCAGTTAACAGATGCTTTTGAAGTTCATTACAGATTTACGATGCTCTCCCCATCCGACTTCATTACTGGCCTTTCCTGAACAAAACTGCAATAGCATCTAGGGGCCTGAGTCTAAAACAAGTCCCAGTTGCATATCATTTCCCCTAGAAGTGTTTGATCTTGAGTCCTACATTATTGTGCATGGTAAGTTCAAAGGGACTCTAGATCTAGCAGGTCTCATGTGCCTACCATTTAATATTCAGAAACTTCTCATCAAAGTGCAAATGTTAACTCAGCAACTGATTATTTATAAAACTTTTTTTTTTTTTTTAAAGTCAGCAGCTGACTACACATAATTTGATTCATGGACTAACATCTGACCTTTCTAAAGAATTAGATACATTAGACATTTTTCCAAGGTTACAGGCAAGGAAGGACCAAGTTCAGTGTTTTCATTAAGAATATACTGTGTTATCAAGAGATGCAGAACATAAACAAGCTGTAAGTAATTATAGCTCAGCTAGAACAAGGCGAGTGTAAGGATACATGCATCTCTTACCAAACAGCTCAACACCCCAATCTGCCTGCAAAAATCTAAGATGAAAAACCTTAGTGCTCCAATTCACTTTTTTTTAAAACAAAAGTCATGACGTAAAGTTAAGAGCTGCAGATTTTCCCTTAGATAAGTTCTGCATAAACAAACTATGGATGAAATGGTGTCGAGGATTATTTACAGCAACTGCCATTCCCTATATTAAAATATATGGATTTATTTCCCTAAGCTCATTTGGCAATAATACCGAATAGAGATTTACCACTCTGAAGTTAAGATGCTTTAAGACTTCAGAGCTGATAAAATCCCAGCTTTAAAAAAACCGCACAATATGATATAAAATAGACCTGCACCTCCCCAATATCCAGGGGGAAAAAAAAAATAATTCCATCTCAGAAGACTTAAGTACCTTGTCATGTAGGAATTAAAATTGCTTTCTATCCTTCAACAGTCTTCCTTCTTCTGAGTAGCCCACCCCAGGGTCCACACTAGAGATGACAGCAGCTAAAGGCCACCACAGCAGCAGTCAGTTTCAGTAAAATGATTCCTTCACCCCTCAGCCCAAAAGAGAGGGAAGATCAGTGCCCAGAGGGCAGAGGGGCCATCAGAGCCCCAGATCCACCAGAACAGTGTTGGAAACAAAATCTAGGAAAAACACTGATAGAAGGGAAGCAGGGATCTGTTAGAACAAAAATTAGAAAAAGGAAAACCAACAAGATGGCTTTGCCTTTCAATGGCAGCAAGATAGACAAGCAAAGCCAGGCCTCCTGGGAAGTTCTCATGCTGTGGAGCAAAAGCGACTGCCTGTGAGCATGTTTTATATTCTTTTGTATGGGTCCAAATACCAGCTCAGAGGGCTGGTTTGGAAGTGGCAGACTGCTTCTGGTGTAGAGAAGCGCGTGGCACTGCAGCACAACTTCAGGCAGTTGTACCCTTTCCAACCCGCTCGTGGATGCATGTTCTGGCAAGGATGCCCTCTTTGTCCTTCTAGAATGGAGACCGTGGGGTGTACCTTTCCATTTCAGAAGATAGGAACACCCAACATTTAAGATTGCATATTTGTGCCACAGTATGCTTTGGAGATCAAACAGTTCACAACCTGGCATAGAATAATCTGAACGAAAATACTTCTTCAGGAATTTGCTTTCTCCCCCAAGGAAGGCAAAGAAGACAAGACTACCCTGACACGTTCTGCGTCTCATAAATACAGCCCTGAGAGGTCAGATGTGTAATTCTGCTCCTAGCATTTAGCTCAAGAAGACACGAACTTCTGTGGACCAGTCACAAGTTACTCTATCTTCCTTTAAATACATAGTGCTTCTATTTGACTTTCAAGGTTACATAGGACATCTGAACCCCTAAGAAATGTAGCTGATGAAAGAAAATTATTAATATGCAATAACTGGCAATGAAACACTATAAACACCTTCCCTCCCCTCAACAAAAACAACCAGAGCAGCAGTGTGAGCAGGGAGATAATTTCACAGAGATGGAGAAGACCCATGTGTGAAACACCCCATGCTGACATTCAAGTCATGAATAGTACTGTACGTTCTAATGAGTCACTAGACACTAGAAATGTGAGTTTAATTAGTGTTCTGCTCTCAAGTTCTTACATCAGATTGCAAATTG